CCTTTCGGACTTTCAAGTGGCAGCTGGAACAGGCGGGTTTGCGACTGAACACCGACAAGACAGGCTTCCTCACCAGCTCCAATGAGGCGGCTAAGGCCCTGAAAGCCCTTCTTCAAGATGGGGACCCTGAGCACTATGATGTCCTCCGAGATTTAGGAGTCGATGCAACGGCCAGCAGAAGGCGGCGGGTCACCCAGATCAAGAAACGCTTCCTCAAGGGCAAAGGAAGAGTTGGAATCATGCACAGACTTCGAAAAGCACAGGGCATTCGATATCGACTACACAAAGGTGCAATACACCCAGTGATGTCATGGGGGGCCCAGGCCAACGGCTTGGCTCCACAACGGAGACACCAACTCAGGGTCTTGGCTGGGAGAGGCCTCAAGCTTCAGAGATCAGGCTCCGTTGACGTCGTTTTCGACATGCAAACCAGACCCCGGAGATTCCATTGTGCTCCACACCATTTGGAAGGTCTACCACGGCTTTGATGAGAGCAAACAACATCTCTTTTGGACGAGCTGGAACACAGCATTGGGCGCTCTTCAGAAAGCCAAATACCGCTGGCAGGTGGTTTCTGGGCCACTTCAGGCCCTTCAGGCCTACTTGATGGATTTTGATTTTGATGCGTCAAATGGTCAGAAGTGGAAGAGAACTGGCTATGGGGGCATTCCGGATTGTGTCTTGAGCTTGACTGATCCTTGGCCGTTGGTGCATCACAAGATGACTCAGGAGTTCCGGTGGCAACGTCTTCTTCGCTTGACCAGGTACAAGGGTTGCCATGATCTGGAAAGGTGGATGATCAGCTCCCACATCCAACGCACCACCAGCGATTCCATTGCCACTGGACTTCGAGCATTTCACCAAGGGGTCATGCACGGCCTTTCGGGACACTGCCCCCTATGTGGCGATGAGCTGACTTTCATCCACCTTTTGTGGCATTGCTCCTTCAGGAAAGGCCGAGTGAAAGATCTTTCTCATGAGTGGGCAAGTCGTTTGGAGGCTGGCACTGATCCTGAACTATGGCAACGAGGGCTGGTTCAGCAGATCTTTTATGAGCCTGAGGAAGGAGTTGCAACCATCGAAGGCACAGGCCTGTGGAAAGAGTTGGGACAGCTTCGTCTCAACAAAGGCCACATATGTTCCATCGCCACGGCTCAAACCTGTGGGGACAAGCGACACAAGCGCTTTGCCTTTGCAATCTGTGTCCATTTGACCTCCAACAAGCAACAGGTAGCCTCCATCACCGGCATCTGCCCAGGGCCCGCCACACGGCAAAGAGCAACCTTCTTTGCCATGAAACAGTTTGCCCTGTATGACGGTCGAGCATGGAAGAGCTGGAAACCTCATGTGGCTTTCGAGACCTTCCCTGACCTCTTCACAGGCCTGGAGTTTGAAGACTTTGATCATGTTTGGCCCCTCCTGTTCTCCAAGAAGGAACTGGAACAGAACGATATGCGACGCATCACTCAGGCAGACACCCAGAAGCTGGCTGACCGCACGGGCAAGCTCTTTGAGCCCACAGAGATACTGGACCTTCAGTCCCATGTTGATGATGATGCACGTGCCATATTGCTCAGTGCTGGGGAGAGGATGAGTATCTTGATCAAGGACAAGTCCCATTTCATTCACCGCAAGGAAGATCAAATCCAGCACAAGATCCCGCAGAAAAGAGAAATCCTCAAGGATCTCCAGTGCTGGACATCAGTGGGAAGCTTTCCGGAGTGGCATTCAGTGCAAGGTCTGCCGGATGAGGTTCCACAGCAAAAGCTTGTTGACTGAATTAAAGGAGGCGGAGGACAAACCATGTCTACAGGAGACCAAGCCGGCCCCTGCAAAGCAGACACGCATGGAGATGATCCATGCCCTAGTGGCTTCTCAGCAGGAGCCTCAGCAGGGAGTGCACCACTTGCAGTTGGACCGGGCGTATTTACGCTGCACAGTCTGCAAAAGCTACATCTTAGCAAGGTGCAATGAGGAGGCCTTCTCGAGATTTGTAGGAGAGCCTTGCTACTGTGGTCCTCTCGAACCACGTCTCTGGCATGGCCATGAATCCCACACAGTTGAACGTCGAGGCAACAACATTGAGTGCTCACGATGCAGGGCCCGCTCCAAGCTCACAAATGGGGAGGTGGTCATGACTTCACGACTCAGGGCCAGGTGCGTGTACATGAAGCACCATGACATCCGACAAATGTTTGGATGAGCTCAGGCAGACACAAAAGGGCGTGCAAAAAAAAAGGAACATAAGAATCACACAAAGCGAAACCAGGTTTGTGTTCCCTCTAACTACTACACCTCCACGATTTATAAACACACAACCTTACTACGTAGCAGCAAGGTGAGGACCAACAGACCAGCCCAATATGCTCTCTGAGCGCCCGTGCTCATGCTATGTTCAAGGCCAAAGGGATTCCCTAAGGCAAACACCTGGCCGAGCGGTCGCAGGGCCCCCCGAAATTCGTCGCACCCAGATCCTGGGACAAACTGGACTGCACTTGATGCTCTACCACTACCAGGATCATCCTATATATGGGGTGTCCTGTTTGACAGTCTAGCAGTGTAGTAGTCTATTGGGCACCCAGACAGGATGACCCAGGTATGTTCAATATGAATCGTTCAATCTCAGGCTGCTAAACATTGAACAATTCGGAGCCACAGCCTCGAGTGGCGAACAACCAACTACGGCAAATCCCTACGCCACCTCTGCACCGACCGCGCTGTGGCATCTTTCAAGCCAAACACCCAGGGGTTTGGTTCGGGAAAGAGAGTGGGAGTCTCCCTATTTCAACCAAAAACACCCACGGTGTACGTACTATGTCTAGAGTTGCACGAAAAGCCTCCACTGTCGTCTTGGAACACTTCGGAACAATGCACAGTTCAACCGAACGCCCAGAGTTCGACCACCGCCCCCCCCAATCAACCCGCCCAAAAACCAGCCGCATGCTCGGGCGGATGTCGTGTGGGGGGGGGAGGATGTCCGGACACGGGACATGGGACCGGATCGATCGGGAGGCCTCTTGCCCTGGCTTCAGCTCTTGAGACACTCCTCGTTGCAGTGGCTGCATCAAGGTCTCCACCTGCGGATTTGGAAGGTGGCTCCCAAGGAGTCTTGAACAGGACAGAAGAACTACATCGAATAGGAGGAGGAGGAGGAGGAGGAGGAGGAGGAGGATGAACGACTCCCCTCTAAAGGGTGATTGATGGAGTGATTGATGGTGATTCTTTTCACCACCTGGGGGAGCGGCAAAAGGAAGTGACTCACGTGGAAGTGGGCGCAGCCGGCCGCAGCGAAAATTCTTGGAAGAACTGGAGGGGGCTGGAAGCTGAACACATACAGTCAGACTGCAGTCACCAGCCGAGCGCCGAGCTGCTTCTCTATTTCCAAGATCATGGTCCTAAAATAAACTTGCATGCGTGTATCTGATGCACCCTGGCCAGTACAGGTGCCACGACCACCCCTTGAGCTAACTTGGACCCACGACCACATTCATCCAACTGCCACCATACAGGACCTATGTGGTGCCCAAACATGGCGCGTTTAATCTTATTTTGGAACCAAACATTGAACACATCTGGGATCTGTCTAAGCCATTCTGCTACCTGTTACCTGACACCTAAATGGAGTTAGGTTGGGACGTGTGCAAAACAGGCAGGTAACATCAGGTAACTTATTTGAGGGTGAACATGGGCAAACGACAAACATATATTGTTAATCCCCGTGCAAAGGAATCTGTCGTATTGATATCTTGTTGATTCTTGTTGCATTCAGTTGCACTCAATACACAAGCCATCCTTTTACAACCATCTCAATCTGCCTGGGATGGACAAACCTGCCTTGCTTCCCTCCACCCGAAGGCACTCAAGAGGGTCAACTCATGGATGATGGCTCGTGGTATTCATGGAATCTGTGTGATGTGATGTGGTGTGAATCTGAGGTTTTTTGACCAAAGCGGGATCCCCACAAACAACTGACATGGAAAAAAACCGCCAAACCATGCTCTTTTAGACCTGAACCTCCCTACACCATCCTTCTGTCCCAACAAGGAAAAGCGTTTTCCTCCCGTCCGCCCCACCAAAACGGCCTGGGCGTCATCCTTCACTTGCAAGACCGCGATATCCGAGAGCGGATCGGCACCCACCACGTAGGCGCCTTGGGTCCACCGTCCCAGCAAGGTCGAGACATGACATGGGTGTTTGGACGGGTTTCGAGTGACGAGAGAAGCACCAGTGGAATTGGCTTATCCCTGCACCTCCTGGCCCACCTCTGAGGAGAAGGTGGTTGAGGTAGGTTTGGGGGGGGTCTAACTACCGAACCTGAGGATGTGGTTCGAGCCCCAGGGTATAGAGTTGGTTTTCGTTTCCGACACTTTGCTTAGCTTGGTGTTCTTTTCATTGGTTCAGTTGTCAAATTTGAGTTCCAAAGGAGCCGTGTGCCTTGCGCACGGCGACATTAGGAACCCTTATCCTTCATTGATCTATTCAAAGAAGAATGAGAAAGCGAACCTGAATGAACCTGAAGCTGCACTAGGTGAGATATATGCAGTGGCCTTTGGGAATACACTGGAAAAGACTTGGTCTGGGGCCGAAACCTGCGTTTTGAGCTCGTTCTAGAAGCAGAAAGCATTTTGTTTAGCTAGCCGTTTTCTTGTTTAACAAAGCATTTTGCTTGCACTGGGAAAGGCAATTGTGCAAAAACTGCGAGACAAAAAAGCAGTCCAGTGAGTCCAGTGAAATGTTTTTGTAGTATGTGGCCAAGGTTCTTGATTTCACTGATTGAGGCATCTGTTGCTGGACTGATCGGTTTTTCATTGTTTTTCCTACTTGCGCAAACCAGCTCAACACACAAACGACTGGTCGGTAGTCCGCGGAGCGCAGCAACCGCACATGTATTTTATCATGTGCTTGCTCAACAAAGCGAATCACTTCGTATAGTATGGAAGCAAAAGAAAGCCCTCTGTACCCCGACTTTAAGTTAAATTATATCACTTCAATGCTGCCTACTTCCGTTTCTCGCACCACACTGACCTAACTGCACGCTACAGCTCTTTTTGGGCGTCGCTTAGCGTTTTCTTGGCAAGCACTTCAAGCTTTTCTCCACCTGGCAAGCAGGCAACATTCAAAGTCCAAGTTGTAGGTAGGTGTGACACAAAATAGTTTGGACAGTGACCCAACTGGTGCGAGTGCGATTGTTAAATTTTAGTTGTGCATCCCAAATCTCTCAGTTTGTTAACTTGTCAAGTCGAATGATTACCAGCATGAAGGTCACTTGATCAATCGGTTGCATGTACAACGAAGCTATATAGTATTCTTCAAAATCCTGGCTTTCAAGAGCATCACGGTCAATGTATACGGATGCCAATACACGAACGTAATATGCACATACCCGAACCAACAGGGCACCCTGGTTTGATCTTGAAGTAGCGAGCGAGCCCTTCGAATGGGTTTGCAAAGGCAAGGGATGGTCGCAAAACAAGTGCATGTTCTGCCACGAGAGGCATACTGTCCTATAGCATCCTATATATTATACCTATTCAGGGGTTCCCGGGGTTCACCAAAACAAAAGCTATTTGGGCGAGTAAACACACCTAAGCATCACCCCTCGTCCTTCGATGGACATTTACATCGTCCAAACACCAGCCGCATGTTCGTGAAACAAAGGCCTGCGGCAAAGGCTTTAGAGGCACCGCATACGGGTTCGCATGCTGATGAACCTGGGAATTGCGAGCCATCAACCTTGCTACATATTATTGCTACCCTAAGTGGACAGTTGGAAAACCGTTGTTAATAACTGTTACCTTGGGACCTTGGGAGACATCTGAGACAAAAACTGGCCAAATAAAAAACACAGTCTATACCTGTCTCCTCCTTCTGAAGTGCAGAAATTCCTTCAGTAGCGATGGATCATCTTCTTTCAGTTTCTCGGCAGGACTTCCTTTAGCGAGCCTGCTGCAGGAGAATTTGACCAACAGTGCAATACTGCGCCTCTTTCCACAGATGTGCCAAGTCATTTTCTGATCATTTCTGAACCACCCAATCAATCCTGAACAAGAACGTAATTTTCAATGTCTAACTGTTAACTGTTCGTTGTATATATATATATTATATTTATATACTTTATTAACCTTATTTATTACAATTATTTACACGTGATGTGAAGAATCATGACAAAACCGATCGATGACTCATCTACCGTTTTCTACTAGTCCCTAGTCCCGCGACTCCACGACAATCAACTCACACGTACAGTCGCCTGGCCCAGTTTCGGCAAAGACATACCCAGAAAGAAGCAGGTGACCCTGTCTCCTCTCGTCACCTCTCTTTCGGGGAAGGAGTTGCCATGTTATAACACTTTCGCCCAGTATTATTCTAGCAGCAAGGACGCTACTAGTAGCTCCTGGCCTTACTACTAGGAGCAAGAAGCTACTAGGAACAAAGGGCATCGCTACCTGTAGCAAGGACGCTACTAGTAGCTCCTGCCATTAGTAAACATTTGCCTTGCATGGCCCCTGTTTGTTCGACCCTCCTCGGCACCGACAGACTGATGCGACCGCCCGTGACTGACTGCGACAGTGGCTGGGGCCACTGGCCGGCCCTCCCTCGACAGGCTGGTGGAGCAAAGCCAAGCCAAGCCATGCGTTGGCCGCCACATGAGGGTAGCGGTAGTAGGTCCATCCGATCCCTGAGCTTGCCATGGTTCGGATGCTGTACTCACTCTGCTCACTCTGCTGACACGGCTGACACAGGTGTTTTCTGGAAAGCACTGAGCAACTGTAAACTGCATGGAACTCTGTACCTGTGCAGGGTGCCAAATACAGAGGCCCACGCAGTCAACAAACTGTAATTGAAAACAAGACCACGCTTTGTGCGTTGGTCGAATTGGTCGAATTACTGGCATGCTGGCTCATTCAGCAAGGGACCTTGTGTTTGGCTGAAAGTGTCAACGTCAAGCGTCATGTGGTTGGTGCCTGGGGGGAAGGTGGCGATCGCAAGACCATCTTTGTCGAAAAGGGTCCACTCTGCTGCAAAAATGACGATCTTCGAGCTGCCACCGAACTGCTCATGATTGCTCGAGCGCCACAAGACTTCTCCACGATCAAGGTCACTATTGTAATTCCTGTAGATGATCAAATCTCCGTCACCACTTCCACCCCTTCTCCAACGCAGGCAATGGTTGCTTGAATCTAGAAGGTTCTCGTTAGTTCCGGACTCCCAAATCTTCTTTGATCTCAGGTTGTCGCTGCCTTTTCTTCTCTTCCTTTGGCAAACGAGCTCAAGGTTTCCGTTCAAGAACTGGAGCCGTGTGCCCACCAAATCAGGGCGCTGCCAAACCACATCCCTCACACACCCAGAGAAGTAGTGTATCTCCATGGAAGGTGGGGCCTCAGGAGGGTAGCTCCCCAATGAATAGGCATACCAATAGACAAAGTCATTGTCGTTTCGATAACCTTCTTGTAGGACAGACCAGTGACGGTCGTAAACCGCGATTGAATCTGCACGGCGCGAACCGTAGGTATCTGTTGTCCATAAAGCCCGTCCTCCACGATAGACCACAAGGTTGCCGTCATCCTGGAAACAAAACGATGTCCCACTGTCGCAACTTCTGCGACGCCGACGACGACCACCACATGTCCGGCTGGTCCATGACACTGCCTTGCCCGGTTTTTGCTGGACCGCAGGATGGAAGGCGAGGTGGCCAGAAGACCCAAACTTCAGACGCCCACCGGTATCGCCTTTCCAAACAGACCAGTCTCCATTTGGCTCAATGCACCCCCCCGTTCCATACATTGAAAAATTGTACCGGGAATATTCTTGCCTTGAAGCAGTGTTGAATGGGGCTGTGCTGCGAGGGAGCCAACGCCGGAGAGGATAGTGGGTATTGCCAAGTTGAGCAGTTGGTGATATCTCAAAGTCATAGCTACTTTTGCACAAAGGGTTCTCCGACTGGTAGTGTTTTGCTACTCGGTTTGCTTGAAGCTGAGTAATTCCAAACCTTTGTCCCATTGCATTCTTGATCTGGCTGCATGTAATGGAGGCGTCCAGTTTCATGTAGAAGTCACACGCCTGGTGCCGTACGGCCAAGGGATCAAACAAAAATACCATTCAGGGAATAAAAAAATATGCAAAAACAATTAGTGTAAACACAAGAAAATCCCGTAGATCTAGGGTGGATCACAGAAGGCATAGTGTGCATTGGGATTGGAGTGGCACCATGTTTTTCAAATCTTTGGCCTCGTGTTGGAATGTCTCCTGCCTCCTCTCTTTTTGACCACCCGGTGGTCTACCATTCTGCTCAATTTTTGGGCGGGCGCCAAGGCTGCCAGGTGCATGGTTACATTGGAGTGGCACCCTGGCACCCTGCTCTTCTAAATATAAAAAATTATTCTCGGAACGGGAAAGGTTGACAAACGGTATGCTTCTGCCCGCTGCATGAGAATGTCCCCGTCTTCTCTAGTTTGCCGCGCTTGGAATGGCGCCTTCCTCCTCTAGATTTTACCCTCCAGTGCTCACAAAAGGTCTGCTCCGTTGGAATGGCACCTTCCGTCTTTATTATTTCAACCAGGTCGCTCATAAAAACCATGCGCCGATGGAATGGCACCTGCGTCTAAATTTTTCTCCAGGTGGCTCACACAAGGTATGCGCCGCTGGACTGGCATCTTCCCCCTCTAAATTTGACCCTCGGGTGGCTCACAAAGTGGCTCCTTCCTCCTCTAAAGTTTACCCTGGGATGGCTCACAAAAAGTATTACGCACTGTTGGACTGAAGACTGGCACCTCCCTCCTCTAAATGTTGGCCCTCGGCTGGCTTGCAAAAGGTATGCACCGCTGGACTGGCACCTTCATCCTCTCAATTGTGCCCTAAATGGTGTGCATCATCGGACTGGCACCTTCCTCCTCTAAAATTTGCCCCCGGGTAGTTCAAAAGGGTATGCTACCTTAGAATGGCCCCTTCATCCAGCTATGTTGGAATGACCCCTGCCCGATCTAAATTTTACATCGGCGTGGCTCGCAAGAAGGTCTGCTACCTTGGAGTGCCCCCTTCCCCCTCTAAACTTTATCCTCTCACACATGGGCTGCTACGTTGGAATGGCTCCTCGCTCTCACCAAAATGTTGCTTTTGTAAGCACCACATGTAAGCAGCGCTGTGCTTCAATTTCTGTTGCCACATACATGGGCATGGCCAAAAACCCTGGTATGGATCGTTCCGCGCTGCCACGACAGTGATCCATACTGCATGGATCAAGGCTCTGATCCCAACCCTATGGATCACACGATTTGCTCACTTGATCCAAGCCTCATCCACAAGTGAGCCCTGACACAGTGGACTCAAAGAGCTGTGTGTGAATGTGTGCGTGTTTTTGCTCGCCTTTGTCATGCCGAGTGTCTAGCACACTCTCCATGTCACAAGGACGCATGGAATGCCCAGGCATTGCAAATAACCTCATCCAGGAAAGTCAAGTTCACAACCAGGTGACACTTTCAATTTACTGGCTTCCGGTAAACCCTTTTTGTTGGGCTCATGCACTTCCAGTTTCTTGGGCCCACCACGAGTTGACAGGCAGCTAAAGTGAGTTCGCCACTCATTTTTCAGCTATCAGCAGTTTGCCAATTAGTGGATCAAGCCACTTTGTGATGTGTTTGTTGTTCTTTCTCTCTTGGCTTGGGTTCGATTTCAGAGGCCGCCCTCGATTTCTGTTTTGTCTTTTTCCTGCTTGCTCTCCAGGGCTCGAATAACGCCACTAGCGGTGTTGGTGTGATTTTGAACCCCAGGGGCGTCGGTGCGCCTCGTCCGTTTGTTCCGCGCCATAGTCCACTGGAATTGGTGGTAGGGGTGTTCTACGAGACTGACGACGCGGAAAAGACCTACAAGCCCGAGCTGGCATCGAAGACTGCGTGCACATCGAGCTCGTGCACGCAAATTCCTTGGCGGCTTGCGCAGTGCAACCTACCTGCCTAGAAGAACCAAGAGAAGGGCGGAGGAAGCTGCTTGGTTGTTGCTTTCTCATCACAGCCACCCCATGGGAGGATGGAGTGGACAAGGGAAAGGGAAAAATGTGAGGCCTTGGTGGAACCAGTGGCCTCACCAACAGACGCAGCAAGGACCGCCAAAGAAAAAGAAAGATGGCAAGCCAGAGAAGCAGGAAAAGGCAAAGCAAGACAAGGGGGGAGAACCTTTCCCCTCCTACGAATCTTTGTTGCCTTCGTCGTCTTCATCGACCAAGGATGCTACCACCAAAGATGTCTTGACTTTGAAAAAGGAAGTGAGAGATCTGCTAGAGTCAAGATCTATCACAATCGACGAGCACCTGTCGGACTTGTTGGGAGCGACAGATCCTCTAGAAGATGTGCGCCAAGAGCAAAAGACACTCAACCTCAAGAAGAAGCTCTTGGCAAATTTTTGGATGCCTTCGAAGAGCACCGGAAAAAGGAAAAAGTGAAACACCTCGAAGATCTGCGTGCAGAAGGAGATCAACCAGATATTGATCAAAGAATCCCGTGCCGAGAAGGACGCATGCATGGCAAGTGTGGAAGAGACCGAGAAGGAAATGTTGAGGAGACAGCTGGAGAAATCGAATGCGATGATCCAAGATCTGCAAGCACGTGTCGAGACATATGCAGGCGCTATGCCAATTCGTCCAGAACTCCCGAACGAGAAATCTCCGCAGCTTGTCAAGAATCCTTCTTTAGGGCTGGTGGATTTCGACTCATCGTTGACAGCACGGACCGCCAGAGCAAGGGTACTGGATGTAGCCAGGCATCAACTGGAGGAGCCGGAGGCTGTTCGATCCAGAAGTGTCAGCAGGAGCCCAAGGAGAGATACATCCAATTCTCTCGAGAGGTTCGACTAGGAGCACGTAGCTGTGGCCAGGCGGAGAGTTATTGTTCGTATCATCTCTTTTCTGGAAAGCAATGTCGACTGAAGAGGGATATCAAGGGAATTGAACAATGCTTCACTTCTGGCCGCATTGAGCATGAATATGAGTCCAGTAACACGGTACATGTAGGCGCCATGGCTTTTAAGGCGACTATGTCAGTGAGCTGGAACGGGAATGGGTGTTCTGTGCTGGAAGGTACGCATGTCATTTGTTTGCTGCCGACTTTCGTGACGGAATACTCTTTTGCCCAGCACAGGGGGTTTCATCTTTGTCTTTCATGAATGATAGCTGTGATTCTTTCTTCGCAGGCATTGAAAGCAGTTATGTGACTAGTAGGCAGGGCCTTATGCTCACATGGGGTCTTGCGAGTGTTTTCTTTATGTTCGTCTTGGTTGGCCTCGTTTGGCAAACATGCCGCATTTTAGGTCGTCTCCGCTGTTGCCATCCCCTAAGGGGTTCGGTGAATGGAGCCAAACTCAAGATGAAGGTCAGAAAGTGGGTGAGCATTTTGTTCATCTTAGTAGTCTCAATTCAGATGATAGTTTGTCAGCTGTTTGTCAAAGGTGGTGTGCATATCCGACCAGACCAGTTGTCAGTTGTCATACAGGTTCAAGCCTTGATGACATGTGGAGCTATGCTCACTAGATTGGGCATCCCTTGGAGTCGTGACCACATTGGTCCTAGTCGTGTTGTAGGCATACGGAGGTTTTCTCCAAGTTACCATAGATCAGCCCAATCGAATCGGTGCAGGGCGGTCCTTTTCTGCTTTTGCATTTTGGGATCACATGCCACGCAAGCAATTAACC